CGCGCTGCGCCGCACGCGGCTGCCGACGGCGAAGGCGAAGGCGCTCGCGCTCGAGAGCCGCGCGCTGCGCGAGCAGGCGGCGCTGCAGGCGGACGAGGCGCCCGCGCCTGCGCCGGCGGTGCCGTCCGACCTGCCGGAGGTCGTCGCGCTCGCGACCGCGCGCTCGTACGACTTGGATGCACTCCTGCGCAGCGGGCGCCTGCCGCCCGACTGGCGGTGGCTCGAGGACCGCGAGGTGATCTACCTGCCGGCGCGGCCCGCGAGCAGCGACGCGCTGGGTATGGGCAGCGCGTTCATCTTCCGGTCGGGGTGCTTCGTGACGTGGGGCATGACGCCCGAGCAGAAGGCCGCGCTGCACCGCGACGTGATCGCGGGCGGCGCCGAGGAGCTGCGCTACGACGTCGCGGGCGACGAGGCGATGGAGTTTGTGCACCTGCCGACCGAGCCGACGCGCGTCGTCGGCGACCTGATCGTCGTCGGGCAGCCGAGCCGCGAGTGGTCGAACCGCGCGCGCGCGGACGCCGCGACGCTCCTCCTGCAGGCGCGCCTCGCGATCTCGCAGGGCCTCGCGGCGTCCGCGCGCCTGTCCGTGCAGGAGGCCGTGCTCGCGGCGTACCTGCGCAGCGTGTCGCTCATGCCCGAGCAGCTCGAGCAGAACGGCAAGGTCCCGCTGCCCCGCCGCGCGCTCATCCGCAAGATGGGCACGCTGCTGCGCCTGCGGCAGCACCTCAACCTCGACCGCGACAACTTCCTCGACGACCCCGAGCTGTACTGGGACAACAGCCACATGGAGGCGCTGTACCGCCACACGTGCGAGGCGCTCGACATCAAGCCGCGCATCGAGTCGCTGAACGCGAAGCTGAACCACTGCGAGCACCTGCTCGAAGTCCTCCGCGCGCTCCTCACCGAAGAGTCGAGCCACCGCATGGAGCTCATCATTATCTACCTGATCGCCTTCGAGGTCGCCATGGCGCTCGTCAGCCACGAGTACGTCCCGACGCCCCTCGCCCTCTGGCACTGGCTCTGTGCGCCGTAGATCGCCCCTCACGAGCTCCGTGCGCCGTAGATCGCCCCTCCCCTCTCCCTAGCTCCGTGCGCCGTAGATTGCCCCTCCACCTTCTTCATGCCCCCCGTGCGCCTCTCGCTCCCGGGCGCCCGCGCGCCGGCGGCGCGCGCGCCGCGCCCCCGCGCATGGGACGCGGACGCGGAGGAGGCGCCGGTATCAACGCCGAGCAGCGCTGCGCCGGTCCCCGTGTCCAAGGCGGTGCGCAAGCAGCAGGAGGAGGCCGAGGCGCTCGACGCCAGCACGTTCGACTACGACGGCGTGTACGACAGGATGAAGGCGGCGGAGCGCGCCGTGCGGCAGGCCAAGAAGGACGAGGACAGCGCACGCAAGCCGAAGTACATGAGCCAGTTCTTCGAGGCGGCCGAGCTGCGCGAGCGCGACCGGCTGCGCGCCGAGAGCAAGCGGCTCCAGCGCGAGCGCGAGGCGGAGGGCGACGCGTATGCCGGCAAGGAGGCGTTTGTCACGTCCGCGTACAAGGCGCAGCAGGACGAGTGGAAGCGCGCCGAAGAGGAGGAGCGCGTGCGCGAGGCGCGCGCGCGGAGCAGGCGCGGTGGCGTCGCGGCGTTCCGCCAGGCCCTGCTCAACGAGGAGGCGGAGCGGCGCCAGGCGGCGATCGAGGCGGCCAGCGCTGCGCCGCCGGCGTCGAGCGACGCCCCGGGCGCGGCGGACGACGTGTCCGACACGCAGCGCGCCGACGAGGCACGCGCGCGCGGCCTGCACGTCGAGCTGAACGACGACCGCCAGATCGTGGACCGGCGCGACCTGCTGCAGCGCGGCCTCAATGTGGTGCGCAAGCGCAAGGAGCCGGACGCGCCGCGCGAGCCTGCGCCGCCGGCGAGCGCGAGCGCGCGCGCGAGGCGCAGCCAGCACATGGAGGACGAGCTGCTCGCGCGGCTGCAAGGCGATAGCGACTCTGAGTAGTGGAGGTCTCCGATGCCCCACGAGGTGCAGGTGTGGGCCGTCGATGTGTCGGCGTGGAACTGTGCGCCGTACACGCGCGTCGATCCGCGGCCGGTAGCGTACGCGTTTGACGGGGACGTCGAGGCGCTGCTGGGGCACGACGCGGGCGAGGCGCAGCGCGTGCGCCGCTACCTGCGCGGCATCGACCGGGTGCGCTCGCTCGTCGCGCGCCTGCTGCCGCGCCTGCTCGTTGCGCAGGGGGGCGAGTGTGCGTGGCGCGACGTGCGCATGGCGGCGACGCCCGAGGGGCGGCCGTACGTGTGCGCGCCGGCGGCCCAGTACGATCTGAATCTCACGCACGACGGCGACTGGGTCGTGATGGCGTTTTCGCCGCACACGCGCGTGGGCGTGGATGTGATGCAGGTCGCGCTCCCGCCGATGGAGGAGAGCACGCGCACGTTCTGCGCGACGATGGCGGCGAGCATGACGCCGGCCGAGCGCGCGTGGGTCGCGGCGCCGGCGGCGGAGCGCGAGGTGCTCGAGCGCCTGCTGCATGTATGGACGTACAAGGAGGCGCTCACGAAGAACATGGGCCATGGCCTCGGCTTTGACTTTGCGCGCATCCAGGTGCCGCTCGCGCCGGACGACACGCGCCTGTGGGTCGCGGGCGCGGTGAGCGAGGCGTACCGCTTCGTCGACGTGGCGCTCCCGAGCGGCGCGGCGNCGGTGCGCGCTGGCTGGCTGCGGGTGTGGACGTACGAGGCGGTCGTGCGCGAGGCGCACGCGGCATGCTACAGGTCGTCGGGGGTATGGAAGAAGGCGGCGTAGGTCATGACTGTGGTGAGTGTGCGCGGCGTACTTGTGCCGTAGACAATGAGGCCGCCGCTGAGCGACAGGACCGCCGCGGTCGTCGTGATGATCCCGGTGTGCGCGAGCAGGAGCGGCAGGGCGGCGCCGGTCATGAGGAGCACGCCGGTGAGGAAGTGGCCCATGTCGAGGTACGCGCTGCGTCAGCGGGCCGACGCACCTGTTCAGGTCCGAGAAGCTATCCGCGCCGGCGAGGCTGCCGAACAGGGCGTTCGGCGCGGGGGCCATGGCGAACGAGAGCGCTGCGTCAGCGGCGCGCGCGTACCGGACCAGAACGGCATCCAGTTCTTCCATAGCGCGCACGACAGGATCACGAGGAGGAACCCGAGCGCGAGCGCGAACGAGAGGAAAATCACCGCTGCGGTTAGCGTCGCCACGCACTATGGAGCCCGCTGGACATGGCGGCGGGCGGCGCGTGCGGAGGCGGGGCACGTGGTGCTGACCGGCTCGGCCGATGGGCTGTTTTCCAGAGGGCTCGATCGTGACGTTCGCCTGGCCCTGGCGACGCGCACCTGACGCTGGATGGCAAGGCGAACCGGAGGGACGTCGGCTGGTGCACAAGCGCACGGGGGCACGTCGCAGGCCGCTGGCTCGGCTGACCAAGGTGCGTGGTGGCGACTGACCGCAGCGAGCAAAGGCGAGGGCCGGAGCCTGGCGGAGCTGTACCTGTCGGACGAGGTGGTAGGTGGACGTGCTGACGGCAGGACGATATGGAGTGCCCGCTGTGCCTGGAGGAGATTGATATTTCGGACGCGAACTTCAAGCCGTGCCCGTGTGGCTACCAGATCTGCCGGTTCTGCTGGCACCACATCAAGCAGAACCTGAACGGGCGGTGCCCGGCGTGCCGGCGGAAGTACTCGGACCAGGCGATCGAGTTCAAGGCCATGAGCACGGAGGAGTGCGTAGCTGCGGCTGACGGCAGGATTTTGCTACTGACGAACGCCAAAAAGAACAAGGAGCGCGAGAAGAAGGAGATGGAGGCGACGAACCGCAAGCACCTGGCGAACATGCGCGTGGTGCAGAAGAACCTCGTGTACGTGGTGGGCCTGAGCCCCCGGTTCGCGCGCGAGGAGCTGATCCCCACGCTGAAGGGCCCCGAGTACTTTGGGCAGTACGGCCGCGTGGCGAAGATCCTGATCAGCAAGCGCGTGAGCTCGCACAAGTACGGCCACGGCTCGCAGGACCCATCGACCGGCGTGTACGTGACGTACCACAGCAAGGAGGACGCCGCGCGCGCGATCGTCGCGATCGACGGGAGCAAGGAGCCGGGCGGCCGCATCATCCGCGCGAGCTACGGGACGACCAAGTACTGCACGGCGTACCTGCGCAACATGCCGTGCTCGAACCCGGGGTGCACGTACCTGCACGAGCCGGGCGAGGAGGCCGACTCGTTCACGAAGGAGGACCTCGCGACGCTGCGGCACGCCGCGAAGGACACGGAGCACAAGATCAAGCCGGCGTCGATGCACCTGATGCCGATCACCAAAAAGACCGAGGCCGCGGCCTCGTCCGACGCGTCGGAGGGCTCGGCGCTGCCGCGCACCGCGTCGTGGGCGACGGCCGGCAAGCCCGAGGCGGGCGCGTCGTCGCCGTCGCTGCCGCGCGACCCGCACGCGTTCCCGGGCCTCGCGGCGGCCAAGGACACGGCGCGCGC